ACAGACTAATGGGATAGAGAAAAGAGCAAGAGAGACAGATAGGTAGATGGGTAGATAGATAAACGTACCGATAGATTATGACAGACATTTAGGTAGATTAACAGATAGATAGATAGGGAGAGGGAGACAAGCAGCGTTTATCCGGCTGAGTGTCGTGGTAGGAAGCAAAAAATGATATTTTCAGGAATCGAGCGAACGGAAGACACGACGCGCTTGAGAAAGGTGGCTGAGGAAGCGGCTTCTGCCTGCTTATTTATTTGTTTCTTTAGTTTTCGTTTTCTTGCTCTCTCGTTGTTGGGAAAACGGGATGAAAAATACGGCAAGAAGAAAAGAGAGAGAGAGAGAGAGAGAGAGAGAGAGAGAGAGAGAGAGAGAGAGAGAGAGAGAGAGAGAGAGAGAGAGAGAGAGAGAGAGAGACTGACAGACAGAAAAACAGACAGAAAGAGAGAGGAGGGGATAAAAAGGACTACACTAGAGATTAACGGATAAAAACATATAAATGAAAGGATAAGGATTCAGTTTGTGCTAATGAAAATATAAAGGCCTAACTAAAAAAATAGTAGGCACAGAAGGCTATACTTGAAAAAATGATAACAAGATTTTCTTTTTCTTTTATGTTCACTCCGCAATAGCAGGAAAACGAAGATAACGAAATATCCTTTATAAATATATATTTTTTCCGAATGAAACCATCATCATCATAGGAGGAATCACCGCACGAAGCCTTCCCTTGGTCTGAGAGAAAGACTTCCGTCCCACTTTCTCCGGTTCGATCAGCGGTCGCCAAAGAGTTCAGTTCTGAAGGGCGGCCCGGCGATAAGCGGCGCGCTCGGAGGCCTAAGTGGAGGCTGATGTTATCGAGGAAGACGATGCGTAATACCCTCATACTCATTAATCTATGTGAATTTCGTTCTAATTAAAAGTAGTACTAAAACGCACGAGTGATGTGAGTGAAGTGGCATGCTATTCGTCGCGGTAAAATCATCGGATCGTGACGCTCATCGGCGTAGGAAGGAGCTGCCCGTCAGTTCGTCGAGATGTTATCTTCCTCTGATTCGGGGACTTAAAGAAGGCATTTTTATCAGAAGGACTTAGACTTAAAGAGTCTTCTAGCGGTGGCTAAGGCCAAGGTAATATCAGCGCAGTAATGTTATGTCTTTTTTACTCATGAATCGAATTGCATGGGGCGATAGTTTAACAATGCGTATCACCAGTTGCTTTAATACGGCATTACTTTCTCCGATAGAGCCAGTACTCTTGTCAAAAAGGCATGTAGAGCCTAGGGGAATAGCGAACACATTCGGCAGACAACAGGTGTGACGGAGGTAGTGTGACGGCGTGACCGGAATCCTGAGCGCTCTGGACCACGGAGCCACCATGATACGGAGGCGCTGTCGTCGCAGCCTCGGCCAGCCTGAGAGTCGATGGGCATCTGTCCCCGCGCGGATTAAATCTTCCCTCTTCGCGTAATAGAGCGAGGTTCGAGACTCGAAAGAGGGGCGGGAGGTCAGTGGCCTCCGGGAGCGAGTCCGTAGACGATAGCAAAGTCGTATCTACAGACTGAAGCGAAAGCGAAGAAACTCTGATGGCCGTAATATAACATGATTATTATTATCGTTATTAATCATAATCATTATTATCATCATTATTTTCATTATCTTATGACTACCATTATCTTGATCCTTTTCATTATGATAATAATACTGATAATGATAATGATAACAATAATGATTTCAATGTTAATAGTACTGGCAGTGATAATGATGACAGTAATAATGAAATGATAATAATAATAAATATGACAACAACAATCAAATCAAAAGCAATGATAATAGTAATAATAATCATATTGATAATAACAATAACATTACCACTGCTACTACTAGCTAATGATAATGATAATAATGATAATAATAGTAATAACAATAATAATGATAATGGTAATAATGATAATAATGATAATAATAATAATGATGATGATGATAATAATAATGATAATAATAATAATAATAATAACAATAATGATTATAATTATAATAATGATAGTAATGGTAATAACAATAATGATGATGATGATGATAACGATAATAATAATGATAATAATATAACAATAATAATAATAATAATAATAATGATAATAATAATAATAATAATAATAATAATAATAATAATAATAATAATAATAAAATAATAATAATAATAATAATAATAATAATAAAATTGATAATTATGATAATACTGCTAATAACAATAATGATAACAATAATGAGGATAATATAATGATAATGATGATAATAATAATAACAATACTACTACTTCTCCTATTACTACTAATAATAACAATGATGATAATGTTGATAATGATATAATAGTTGATAAGTGATAATAAAAAAAAATACTACTACTACAAAGAATTAATGTAATTATAATAATTACAATAACAAACGATAATAAAAGAATAATGAATAACAATAAAATAATAATAAAAATAATAACGCAA